GGGATGTGGCTGAAGAGCAAAGGTTAGTCACTGCTGCAGTAGTGGCCAGGCAAAAGTAAAGAGCATTAAAGCAAACAGAAGCCCTAGTTCTAATCTCCAGTGCCACTGTAACTAGCAGTAGCTAAAGCTTCGCTCAATGTTGTGCTTTCCTTGCCCTGCAGCTGGGCTTTCTTCTCAAAATGCGGGTAGTGTGCTGGAGCTACATGTTCTGGAGCACATGCCCAGCGTGATGGCTCCTTCCAGTTAAAGCCTTTCTAGAACAGCCTGTGTATTCAATGTGCAGACTCCCAGATCTCTTACAAATAAATCTGTATTGCTATATAACAAAGTTGAGTTTAGTGACAGTAGCTTCCTTTCCGTAACTTCTGGCTTCATAGTGCTTACGCCTAGGTCCATGTGTAGTGGACCACAGTTCCCAAGGAATAGGATAAGTGACTTGATGTCTTGCATCTGAGTGTGCTCTCTCTTTGCTGCCAGCTGCTGTGAACGTTACTGAAAACTAATTTGATGAACTGATTGTAAGAGTGATTTGTACCATAATGCCTTTCTCTTTTTTCCCTTTCCCAAAGCAACTTGTAATTGTACTGATTGGAGAATCTCAGGGCAGAGATTTGACATTTTGGATTATACACTTAATTCCCTGACCACTTTTTCCCCAAGAGCAGCAGCTGCCTGTTGTAGTTTTCCATTTATTAATTGAATCCTGGATGTGTGCACGCACACAAGCTAGTCTGCAAGTAAGGATATGTACAAAGCTTTTCTTCTGTGGAAGGATTACTTGACTTTCTCTTACCTGGTTAAATCTTAAACACTAGTCTCTTCCCTTTTTTATGATCCACACTGCATCTTTTTGTCCCCTTAATGCAAGCTCTGAGAGAGAAGGAATACAAAGAAGCAGTGTTCAGAAATAAATTAGTGATTGTTATAGAAAAGGTTTTGTTAAAAAAAACAATCAAGCTGCTGGTCCAGTCCAGAGGCCTGTTGCTGCCTGGCTCAGAGGGTGCCACTCGGAGTCCTCACATAGCTAACTGCTGCAGCTAGCCCCTCAGCGCATGGACGTTGGAGCAGGATGCTTTCCTCTCTGCTGGTGTTCAGCTTACGCCCTGCAGCATGTGCTTTGACTCTAGTAGCTTTTATACATAGATCTGACCACTAATAACAAATGTAGTTGTATGTTGTAGCTGTTAATACAAAGCCTCTGTTTCTAATCAGTGCATGGTATTATATATATAGTGCATGCTATGTGTGTTGTCCCCCCACCCCTTTTATTTACAGCCTCAGGTTTGTTTGCATCTCCACACTGTTTTGATTTAAGAAAAAAAAAAATAATCTCCAAATGTTTCTAGTTGCTGATAGCCCGACTCCTCCCCCCCCACCGCCTCCTGATGAGATGCCGATGTTTGATGACTCTCCTCCTCCTCCACCCCCACCCCCCGTGGATTATGAGGATGAGGAGGCTGCTGTTGTGCAGTACAGCGATCCCTATGCAGATGGAGATCCTGCTTGGGCACCTAAAAACTATATAGAGAAAGGTAAGAGAAGTGTGGCAACTCTGTTACTGCAGTATCAGAGGATTAATGGTATCTGAAGGGAATGGCTTGGCTTGGGTTTGATGAAATCATTGTCGCTGTTAAATCAGAACTCGAATCATTCTTTTCTTAGCTTGTCTGTGGCTACACCTAATGTGATAAAATATAATCCTTCTTTGGAAGGATTATAAAATACCTTCCAGCATTCTAGAATGAATAAAAAAAAAATCCTTTGTTCTGAGAAGCAGATGTAAATCAGGTGGCTTTCCTCTTTGCTGAGCTGCTGGACTGTGTCTATAGCTACCTCAGGATTGCTGGGCAATCATCTAGAAATAGTGTTGCAAAAAGGCCAGAAAGTCTGGACTCTGTTTATCCCATCAAACTAGATAGCTAGAGTGGATCTAGCTATGGAACGTGGTGAGGCTTCCTTGGAGACTTATCAGTGTCCCTAGACCAGCAGACTATAAACTGTGCTTAGGTGTGAACTCCTATAGTAAACGCCTCTTCCCGTGAATGGTTGAGATGCTGATCTCAAGCCTGTAGAGTTGTCTGTGTTCTGACAATGACCACGTCAACAGCAAAGTTGCAAGTTTCCCCGTGATCTAGCTGGCACTGCAGTAAGTGTGGAATGGGGTAGGGTACCTGTCATACCTGGCTTAGCAGAACTGTTATGTTCCACCTCCACTCCTAGCTGGACTGTGTGCAGCACATACCCATGGGATGAAAGTAACCGATACAGCACATCATTATTTGCTAGGCGTTAAGGCATCAGATTTCTGAGAATATATATGGAAAATAGTAGGTTCTTGGAATTCATAAACCTCATCACTTGCATAAATCCATGTTAACTGTTTTGAAGGGTAAGGCTCTGATGTCTGAAGTTTGTGTATTCGTAGTAGTAGTTTTTAATTCCAGTATTGTGGTGACATTTACTTTCCTTGGGGAGCTCTCTGCTTTGTTAATTGCACACAATGAATTGGAGGTTGGTAAGAGTAATGTATTTACCAAGCACATACTGAAAAATAGCCGATGTTGCTATAAATTTGCTTCTATTTTTTCCTACAGGAACTTTTAATGCTTGCACTCATTGCAGCTCCTTGAAAAGTAATGCCAAATCTTCTTATCCCATAGAAGCTCAGTAGCAAAATCCATGCATTTCTGTAGTGGCTTTAGGCAGCTGTGTTTACAAGGCCACGCACTGACGTACGTGCTCTAGAGCTGCAGGGGCTGTAGCGTGGAAATTTTTTTTCTGTTGGTCTGTTTCTATAGAATGGTTTGTGGTTTTTTTATTTTTGTAAAGCTTTCTCCAATCAATCAATCAGTCTAGTACAGGGCTCTGTGTGCTTTTGAAGTAATCTGACCAGAAATGACGGCCGCACTCATGCACCCAGTTATTTCATAGTTCAGCTTTTAAGTGTCCGTATGCCCTGCCCTACTGTGTTGCAGTCAACTGTATCTCTCTGTCAATAGTTTCACTGAGTGGTCAGTGTAGTCACCACGCGCTTCTTACTGGTAGCTAATGTGGCAAGAAAAGTGAAATCTCATTTTCTGGACTTAGTGTTCAACAGGGAAAGCATGTGAATTCATTATGGAAAATCCCAGGATAGCAAACTAGTCTTTTAAAAAATAATTGTACTTCAAAAATGTGAATACTGGTGCTATTAATAAAATGCTAAACGTGTCCCTGTTCAATCCACAGTTGTTGCTATATATGACTATACAAAGGACAAAGATGATGAGCTGTCATTTATGGAGGGTGCAATCATTTATGTGATAAAGAAGAATGATGACGGCTGGTATGAAGGAGTTTGCAATCGAGTAACTGGCCTGTTTCCTGGGAATTACGTTGAATCAATCATGCACTATGCCGATTAAAATCCTTTGCTTTTCAAAGTTGGGTCTTGTATTCAGTCATACCATGATTATTTACAAGGGGTAACTACAAGCTACAGAATTGTCTTAACATACTTCCAAAACACATGTGCCCATTTCTTCAGGCCATACTGTTTTAATGGTATGATTGAATGTCCATCTCTCTAAGTCTCTGGAGACAGTATGTCTTACCTGATGGCGATTTGTAAAACAAGCAGCTGTCTATAACTGGTTATACTTATTTACTTATGCATTGTTAATTTTATGACCAGCCTAAATATTCTGGGGAAGTAGGGTATAATATTTAATGAACCATGATCAGATTGTGCCATTACATTTTTCAGTACAGCATGGTAACTAACACTACGTTAGACTAACATATTAAAATCTGGATGAGAAGTTTAATGTTAGTGCTGGTCATATTACTTTTTGTTTAGACTCTTTGCTCATTCTTGAACTATATTTGTTTAAAGCATGCATACAAACTTATGTATTGAAATATACTTTTTTAAAAATCCAAGATGCTTCCAATTGTTGTAATCTTTACCTGGAGTATTCTCACTAAAGTCTATTACAATGAGTTGTTTGGGTCTAAGATGTCCATGTGAATCAAAAAATGGGTGGTCTTATGTATGTGTAATTTGTACCCAAGTTTTTTTAATGAGTAAATTTACATTATGACTTTTTCCATTCATAAATATATAAGTGAACCAAAGGTCTTGTCCATTACTTTGTTGGTTGGCTTGGCAAAGAAGTTTGGAATGCTAACGTAGCAAAATCATGGCTGTGTTATCCCAGGCAATGTACTAAAAAGCAAATGTTTGTAATGTGACTTTATCACTGACACAGGGCAAATAAATTAGATATGAAACCTGAATTACACATTTATACATACTCTTAAAAGTTCTTTTCTTCCAAAATTAATTTTAGCAAGGATTCTTGATTCAGTCTAGTTATCTACACCATCTGTATCTGACATTTCTCAATGGAAACTGTATCTGGCTTGGTGATGTGCCCAGCTGAGCAGAGACGGCAGGCTGGCCTCGGGATATGACCAAGGGGGAACAGACATGATGGGAACTTCGCTGTTGTGTTAAGGGATCACAGGCAGAGATAGTTAAAGTGGTGTACTTCCCTGTTCCACAAATTCTGTGGCTTAAATAACCTGAAAAGGAATGTGGTAGCACCGGATAATTACCATAAGAGGAATGTGTCTGGAACTTCAAAGCAGACTTCTTCTAGGAGGGTATTGAATATTCTCTATCCATGAGTGATGGCAGGTGATGAAGTTGAAGCTTTGACTGGCTGTTGAGTCATTTGGTTTTAGTGTGAGTTAGAAATACTGAGCTTTTTGATTTCTTAACCGTAGCAGTCTCAAATTCTGCATCTTGGTAACTGCTAGCAAGTAGCAACCAACAGCATATACCTCTATTTCATTATGAATTGGAAAATGTCTCATTGATGTATATCACCAATTAAAGTCTACATCCACTTTCCATACATACAGTTCCAGGTACTTCCGTAGTTTAACAGCCAGGAAAGCATTCACACCATCTCTCTTCACAGGAGCTTACCAGATAGTAACATGCATGCTCTGTTTATTAGTGTGAACAAGTGAAATTTGGAACAACTCCAGTTTTGTTATACACTGATTTGTATTTATTTTCATTGTGGCCTTTGTGCATCAACATGTAAACATCTTCCCCACCCCCCACAATTAACAGCCCCCACTAAAACAATTGTACAGCACAGTTTGATTTGCTCTGAATTGTATGGCTTCCCACGATAAAACACTTTAAACTTTTGTTTTTTAAAAAAAAAGTAGAACTTCAAAAAAAAGGTTTTTTTAAAAAAATAATTTTTGGTAGCCTGTGTTGGAAGCAAATAACTCTTGAAGTACATTTAGGCACAGTCTGGTAAGTAGCTGCCAGAACGAGTGGAAGGAGTTCTCTCACTTGTCTCGCATGAGTACCATTTCTGTCAGCTGAATGAGGGCCTCTCTCTCAGGTGATGGCCGTAGTTTACTGATCTCTCTTGTAGCTTCATGGCAGTAGCGCTGGGCGAGGTAGGTTGTTTGCTGCACGCCGTCACTCTTTATGTAAGAAGACAGTTATAGGTAATGGGTCAGCCTACCTCCTGCCAAATTTTGCCGCTTTCAGTTACAGGGGGAAGTTTTAAGGTCAATAAGTACCCTGAACACTTAATTATATTCTGGAGGGGAAGGGAAGAGGATTCATTCTATATTCATTGAATATGCATTGAATCCTACATCTCTTCCTCAAAACTTCAAAATACTAAAACTCATCCATGGTAAACTTAAGCAGACTTACAAAACACTGCTGGTCTTAATAACATACTGTTCAATAGGATTAGAAACTAATAGTTTAACCCCTCCCCTCCTGCCCTAAATAAGTAGAAGAAAACATGCTATCCTGAAAAAATAGGTATTAATTTTGCACAATTATCCAGTCTTTTCAGGCCAAAGTCAATTAAAACCGATATTGAGTATGCACTGCAGTTACAAGACTAGTAATTATGTGCTGCTTACACCAGTTGTTGGGTACAGCTACTCTTCAGCTGAAGGAACTGAGTTAATGCATGAGCTTTTTACCTTTATGTGGATTTTATGCTATTAGAGGGGAAAAAAAGCTCTTTGTGCCAGTAAGACAGCTGAAGAGTACTAACGGTGTATGGTACATAGCATGCTACTTAACATGTTACATGAAAATGCAGCCCTGCTATTTTACTTTAGAGGCAATGAATTTCAGACTGACTTCAGCAGGGACAGCACTTCAGGAATGAAATATTTGGTATCAGTCCTACCTGCAACACATATTTCCGAGCACGTTCAACATCTCCTGGCTTACTGAATCGTCTCATTATCATAGCGTTCATTTCTGGAAACTAAGCACAAAGGGAGAAGGTTTTGTACCACTTGAGAGTTGTTTTCTGTGTAGCTGCCTGCCATGCTAAGGTCAAAAAGAAACCAAAGTATAGACCTCTTCCCTGCCACTCTTGTTACTACAGGTATAGATAGGTTAATACCTGCAATCTGCATAAAACTGTAGTATAGCAAAGCCCAAGCATTTAAAACTTAAACTGGCTGGCTCTGTTGGCTGTAGTGAAAGTTAGCACCTGCCACTTCATCATGTTGAGCAGATGATCCAGTGTGGTAATTTCTGATGTGGCTATTTCCAGGTGTATAAGCTGGTTCAGGTATTCTTACTCACACATGATGGTTAGTGTTGGCACGCTTAGAAGCAGCACCTCTTCCCCCACATGTACAACAGAGAACGGGGGAGGTTTGTTATATCTATATTGCACAGTTCAACCTGTAAAACCCTTCATGATACCTTTGACTGTTACATCCATTCCTATGGTATTTTATATACACAGGCTCTGCCCGCAGAAAGCTCAGGACAGATTTTTTTAGAAGAGAAAAATGGCAACTATAGTGTATTTTGTTTTCAGTCATGCAGAATTTGTAGTTAGTACTGCACACTCAATTCCCTACAAATTGAGTAGATAACTGAAGTCTGTCTGAGGAGGTCACTGCATCACTCACTTACCAAAACATGCAGGCACTTTCTTCAGACAGTCCAGAAATAGAAAAACCTGGTGCATAACAAACACTAAGGCCACAAGTCAAGGCAGCTACTCTGCAGAAGAATTCTTTTTAAAGGAAAGAGGTGATTGTTCATCCTCTCTGAAAGGGTTATAGTCAAATAAAGATGATTTTATTGCCATACACTTGTAAACAATGATCTGCTTTCCTTGCACACCTTTGGTTCTGAAACTGGAGATCTACAAACTTGTTAGGGAACAAACACATAGCAGCCCTCATTGTTGTGACATTTCCCTATTACTCATAGGTAGTCTTCTTGGAAGATACGTTTAGAAGTTTATTGGTGACTCATACTTGGCTTTCTCTAGATCCGAGCTTTCTTCCCTTGTAATGACAATTTAATTGCAATGCTCAGATAATCCATTTTCATATTATTCATATTTACAATCATATAGGATGCATATGCTTTCACTTTTTATATTTAAGTACTAAAGGATATAAAAATCCCCAAACTTGTAATGCAAAGCTGTTATTAGCAGTTCTGCAGATTTAAGGGGCAGTATCTAAGCATTTGGCAGTAATGCTTATAATAAAAATAAACCTTCATTCTTCAGCTGTACTAGTTTAACAGTGGCTTTAGACTTAGTATATACTAGTGTGTTTCATTAATAAATGTTTGTTGGGTTTTTTTTTTTTTACTGAGTGAACTAACTTTAAATACTGAATAAAGAGGTCTCACATCAAGCTAAACATTTTTTGTATAAAGGCCTCTCCTTAATACTCTAATGCACCAAGATGTAGTTCAGAGAGAGGGGAGAGAACAAGAAGAAAAGGCAGCTGCCACTGAAGAGCCAGAGCACATTAAGAACTAAAGTATCTTTGTCAAGAAGACAATGTGAGGATTACCAGATATATTAAAGGGTAATAGCAGTAATATTAATTTCAAGAGAAAAGACAGCCTATAACTAAGAATTACATTTTGGAGTATCTTCAAGTTCTGGCTCAGGAGTTTTTATTCTCAGACACGAATAGATGAAATAATAATTTTTAGTAGCAGCACAGATAAGTGTCTGTTGAAGCTCCAAATTTTTTTTAGCACTTATACTTTGTTTATAGATCACTTAAGGCTGTAGTGCTGTTCTTCCAGTTTCTTGAAAACAGCAGGAAATTTTCAGCAAAGAAGCCTTCCAGTTAATGCGGAAAACTTTGCAAGATGGTCAAGTTATCTTTCAATGCAAAAATGTATGCTTCCCATCTATCAAAGATATAAATGAGGAAAAGCATTTAAAAGTGACCTACAAAGAACAAGAAAGATGTTAAAATAGAATTGACAGATTTTCTTTTCTTGTATTTCCATATTATGAAGTCATTCATCTTATAAAGCTAATTAAATGATAGATGGAGTTGAAAGTCAGAGACAGCCAACCCAAACAAGTGAATCAAAGAATCGTTTTAATTTAAAAAAATTGGAATATTCAACGCCCACAAGTCAATCAGTGTCACCCATTCTCTGCCAAAATCAGAGTACTTGCAACACATCCTTGTTTCTCTCTACAAGTGGCTTTAACACACAAATACACAATTTCACAGTGGCATCCTCTTTCTGTACCTGAGTCTCTCACTGCTCTTTAGACAACCCCAGTTGCTGATGACTAACAAGATCCTGCTGCTTATCAACAAATTCTGAAATAATGATTCAAGAACAAGTTTGTGAATCCTCCAGATGAGTCTATGGAGAGGCACTGAGAACCTGGAGGAGGTTATTTTTGGCATGCATTCATCTGCATTCTTAAGTGGCTGATACTCTTTGCTTTCCTGCCTTTTCTGCTACATGGGTTTCTAAATGCCCAAAGGATGAGGAAACAAATACATGAGTCTGTTCCACCTCCCCCCACCCCAGGCTCTTTAAGAAAGAGGGGGAAGTAAATGTCATAAAGTTGTTGTTTTGTTGTTGTTTTTTTTAATTATTTCAAACTGTTCCCATGTCAAGCTCTGAGCAATTCCAATGGGAGATCACCGAGCTCTACTGGAACTAGTTGTGCCAGTTCTTGTACTATGCTGTGAAGCTTGGTAGGAGGACTGCTTTCTAAGTCCCAAATCATCTTTCCTTGGGTGAACAAGAAGTTTGAGCACAGTGTATTAAACCAGTTTGTTCCCCTTTTACAGATTAGTATCAATTTTAATGTTTCTTTTGGTGCTGCTGACACTTCTGTTTTCGTTGTACTCCTGCAAATAATTTTTAAGCCACTGAAGATCTTGACCAATTTTAAGCTTATTTTATTTATGATACTCCTTTTTCTCGTATCCAAACTACTACTACATTTACCTTCAGAATGGAAAGCGTCCCACATTTGTAACTGGATAAGACTTGAGAACAAAGAGGTGAAGAGATCCAATCCAATAAATACAGCTGCCCACTTAAAAGCTAGGCAGGAATTTAAATTCTTGCCCTAGGATGGATACAAAGCCCAGAACTTGGCAAAAAGCCTGAAGAGATCAAGATGTCTCAGGAAAGAACATACGCAAGCAGCTACTTAGGAATGACCTACAGAAAACATGCAAAAACTCTCTGAATACCTGCCCCTCTGCGAAAGTTAAGAACTGGCACAGCAGAAGACTAGTGCTGCTTTTGATACAAGGGCCTACTGGTAAGAGGACTTGTGTACGGAGGTGTTTCTCAGTTGGAAAGAACTTGCCTGTGCAAACTAAATCCAGCAGATCCTGAACGCACTGATTTTTCACACACGCCCAGGCCATGCTCATCACGACACTGTAGACTTGTGTTTGAGCTGGACCTGCGTGTGCGCTGTGAAGAGCGGAGCATGCTTTTTGTTTTGGGAAAATAGGTTCCTGTTGACTTACCTGTCGACAAGCAAATAACACGGGGCCTGTGGCTAATCCAAGCTTGAGATCTGCTGCTGTTGGTTTCCCCAGACGGTCGGCACACGATGTAAAATCCAGCACATCATCTATTAGCTGGAAAAAGATAAACACACAGATTATTTTAAAACTTTTCTTTTTTTTTTAAACAAGAACTAAATACAGAGTAATCCTTGTTAAGAGAAGATTTATAGAAAGGATTAAGACAGTCCACTTTGATTTCTAAGACAGTTTGGAAAAGTTTAGATTTTAGATTCCCTTTAGTTCAACAAAAGCACTACCTGAAAAGCTATGCCAACATTTTTTCCATACTGGTAGGCAATCTCATGAACTTTGGGATCAGGGCAGCCTAGAATTGAAACCTGAAAAGAAAAGAAAAAAACAAAAAAACACAAAACAAGTAAATAGAAAGCTTTAGTTAGCATCCACATTTAGTCTCTGACCATAGGTGTGACATACCAAGCAGAGACAGTAGGGATCTGGGAAAGGAAAAAAAGCTGACTCAGTAGCACATTCTTGCTTATCTCTGTTCATGGACACACACAAATAGCCAAGCTTATTAGAAAACAAGGCTGAACAGCAGTGCAGTATTAAAAATACATTCAAGTCTGGAAAGACATTAGCTTTATTAAATATTTATCAGACTTAGAAATTATAATGCAAGGATGGAGAGAGAAGAAATGTGGATGCACTGTACACACAGGCTAGTAGTCACATAAAGTCCAGTGACAGGGGAATTAAATTTATTACATATATAAATCAGCCAGGGGATGATTGGAGGTCAGACAACAGATAAATGGACATTACATGTTCGTAAAAGATCCACAAAACTGGATCTGTTGCACCCAGTATAGAAGGGACAGTTGAGATAAGGATGATTATTTTTAAGGGTGATGTTAAATCTAACTGAATTGATCAGGAAGATTAGCTGATTAGCTTGCAGACAAAGGTATCCAGGGATAATTAGTGGCAAAGACAAGACAGGGAATGAAGAAAATACACCAAGCTAGACAAAAGTATCACTAAACTGAGGTAAACAAATTAAACATTGTAATTGAGTACAGATAAAGGAATCAACTACTTGAGAGACACAAGGTTTGCTGAATAAACTCCACAAGGCTAAAATATAGGGCACAGATTAAGATTTGAGAATTAATATCTTGCCTCAAAGTAAGGGCACTTATGCTTTTGCATTTATGTATTGATTATACACTTTGCAAAACAAAGTTGGTTATATTTAAATACACAGATTTACTTCAGCCTTCAATAAAGCAACAAGGAACAGGGGGCAAAAATCCATCCTGGTTTACTGCAGAATTCCACATCTGCTGTGACTAACAGGAGTGAAGATACATTTTACTTAATGTAAGACTAAAAATACATGCTAGGAAAACCACATGACATAAAAATATGTATTTATACATATATCTTCTTTTTATACATAAAGAAGAATATAAAAATTCTTCTTTAAGACCATGTAAGGTAGGGTCATTAAAAAAAAAAAAAAACACCAAATAAAACCCCAAACTAAAAGCGAGTCCAGTAGTAGCTTTGAAGGTGAACATGAAGATGGAAATAAGAAACAACATTATAACCTAATAAATGCAATGCAACTTGCACAAGATTAGAGACTATTTCATGCATCAGTGCATTTTGTAACTAAGCATCAGAACACTTCCTAGTCATAACCTGCATCCATGGATAACAGTTAAAACCCGGAGGAATCTGGATGCCTGAGGCATTAACAGCATCTCACACTTCCCATTTTATTTAAAAGAGTATAGTATAGCAGGAAAATGATGCTACTTATATCTAATCATACAAAATCCTGAAGGCTATTAAAACAGAGTGAACTGCAAATATGAGATATTTAAATAGACATTGCTGGGGACTATCAAACTAGAACATTTTGCCCTTTTATCCTCCTTTTGATGCTCGTCTCAAATAGCAGTATTTGCCCCAAAGAGCTACCATCTTCTACTGCTATACCATGCCTAGCAAACTTTTGGTTGCTTCTGTAATAGAAATCAAATAATAGCAGCAAGGCTGGGGGGCTGCATCTACCCTGTTTCAATGTAATCTTTAACAACTACCACATTTCATGTGAAGAATTAAAATATGGAATTCAGTAGAACAGTGACAAAATCCTGGTTAATGGCAAAGGGTCAGAGTGGGCACAAGTTGGTAGATGAGGAGAGGAAGTGCCATGTAAGGAGAAGAGCTTTCTCATTTAATCTGAAAGGTCAGAGCAGAGCTATTCCTGTAGGTGGACAGTTTTCTGGGGACACAGACATTACCTACATAAAGAATCACAGCAGTACACACATTTAAAAAAACAGAAGCATGAGTTACAGAATGTAACACAAGCAAAATTCATCAATGCAAAGTTAATTCTTGCATCTTTGCAAGAGAAGACCATCATAGCTCCTATTCAGGATATAAACATTTCTGAAGACAAAAACAAAAACCAGGAGACTGATATGCCTATCACACCTCAAGTGAGCAACTCTCTGACCACGACCACACCACAAACCTGCAACATGACTGGGTCTTGTCTACCAGTGAGTTCCCTCAGGACCCCATTTCTCAAATTGCCTTTGTGGATTATTGCCCCCATCTGGACACTCACTGGGATGCAGGCAGGCAGCCTTGTCACGGTCAGCCTGTCACTCTGGGAGCCATGAAGTTTAACTGAAGTCATACTGGGATAATAGCGTGTATTTGCAAATATAAATCAGGATAACAATGTCAATGATATATGGTTAAATGATAACGCTCACCCTTTGAAAACATCCTATAGCTCCAGACTTGTCCTCCACTAAATCCTGATGAAAAAATCCTTCCTAATACCAAGTGGAACAAATTCTTTAGAAAGGTCCTTTTGAATTCAGTAAAGCAGGTCAATCTGCTTGGCATTATTTCAAACACACTTTTTAAAATAAAAAATGGTTTCTATTGTTTTATGTTACATGAGAGACTATAAACCAATCTTGCCTCTTTACTGAATTTCACATCCATTTCACATCCAATATTCTATCATCAGCTCTGAGTAGATACATCCTGCTCTGTTATTTATCATGTGAGAATACGGCAGCTGGAGTTGAAAGCCCTTGCACATCTATACCACTGCCCTGTAGGGCAGAGAGGAAAACCTGCTGCTGGGCAGAGATACGTTTTAGAAAGACTGCAAGAGATCTTTGCTCACACACTCCTAGATTTGTGGACACCATGGAAAGGAAAAAGGCTCTAAAACCTTCCCCTTTTCCAGCACTTCTCCTCCATGCCCATCTCCTGAAGCAGCCAGGATCCTGCCTTCTCATTCGTGGCTCATCCACCGTTTTTCCAGACAGGAGCCCTGTTCCTCTTTCCAATGGAATCACAGAATAGTTTAGGTTGGAAGGGAACTCTGAAAGTTACTTGGTCCAGCCATCTGCACAAAGCAAAGCTTACTTCCCAGTTAGATCGGGCTGCCTGGGGGGCTGTGTCCTGTTGAGTTCTGAGCACCTCCAAGGATGAAGATCCCACCCCCTGTCTGGGCAACCTGTTCCAGCATTTGACCAGCCTCGTGGAGAGATTTTTCCTAATAGCTAATTGATTTTTTCCATAGTAAAACTTGTCCTTTCACTGCACGTCTCTCCACCCTCTCTCCACCCTCCCATTACATAGCTGGAGACAGCAAGAGGATTCCCCTTTAGCCTTTTCTACTCCAGACTAAAACCAGCCCTTGGCATATCATTTGCTCCAGCCCTCAGCCATCGTGGTGGCGCATCACTGAACTCACTCCACAACATGAATGTCTGTCTGGCACAAGGGAGCCCAGCCTCAAGGTCTCACATGTGCTGAGCAGAGGAAACCAGTCGCTTCCCTTGATGTGTTGGTTATGCTAGTAGCAATGCAGCCCAGTATGTGCTTATCCTTCATCGCTGCAGGCATGCAACTGGCTTTTCCTCCAGGCTCTTCAAATCCTTTTTGGTAACTACTCTTGGGAAGTGGGTTATGAAGGCCTACCTGGGAGAGGAAGGTATCTACCCAGCAGGATTCTCCCTCCCGCCCCAGCAGACAACTATCTTGTCCTGCGCCTGCATTTTCATGCTTTTGACTTTGTCTCAAGTACTTGTTTATGAAGAATTGTACTTTTAGAGAAGGGAAGATTATCTGCCTGAATATCTGTGATATATTTATGCTAATCTTTTCCATAGCAAGCATTATGAAAAAATACCCCCAAAGGAGTTAACTGTATTTTAAATAACAAATAAGGAAATTTACTGGCTGACCATAATATCCGATGATGATGCTGGTATTACCCTACATCTGTCATCGGACTTTCTTCTAGTCTGCATGCCTAGCTGGACTTGGGGATCAGTCTTGCTGGTGGTGGTCAGAGGTCTTATTTTCCTAGACATCAGTTCCACACCCTGGTAGGTTTTTCTGATGGAGCCCTGTGCACACACCAGACTATGAACCAGTTAAAGCAGGAGCTCACAGGTAGATCCAGAGCTGCAGACTACTCCTTTTCTCCAGTCCCTAAGGCAGACCTTCCATACACAGCCTTGCCTTACACAAGAAGGCTGCATGCTTTCTCCTAATAGAGAAATCAAGAATCTCTAGTGCAACTTTACACTTATCTCAAACAAGCATGATTTAATCCCTCTTCTGAAAGCATGCTATGCAAAATATAAACAGCTTTATGAGGGTTAGGAATTCGCATTACAGCAGGATAAATAGAGACAGAAAGAGAACCTGCTCAGCTTATTTTGCCGTCTCCAGCTTGCCTGATGACTAATAGAAATTCCACTTCAGCTTTATTGTTTCTGAATTCTTGAACCAAAGTCACCTCTCATGTTTCTCTGAAAAATGCCTTTCAATAACTAGTGCTTCAGTGACCCTCTGGGCCATCTGCCACCATTTCCTTTTGCAGTGTATTACTTTGACTGCAACTTTGGTAACATTCTCCCAAGCAGAACTATTGTAGAAATAAACTGGAGACGGGGATGGCTCCAACATCTTGAACAGACTGTTCTGTCCACACAAAAATTATTTTGCTAACTTAAAGGACTTTTGATTTAAATGCAGTAATGCTTTGGCAATGCAGAAGGTATCTAATACAGTGACTAGACCAGTGTTGACAGACTACCCATTATCTTATTGAGACATTTTTCCAGGAATACTCTAGTCTTTCATCTCTAGGCATGACACTGTTGAATTCTAAGATGCCACCCGAACTTGACGTCTTCTTTCCAGTTAATACTTTTATTTGTGCACAGAAACAAAACACTGTTTTTTCCTATGATTAACAGCAACTGAACTGCTTCTAATGACACACTAGCCTGGTGGTAACTGATGTTCTGAAAACCAATAATCTCTCTCCTTAGCTTTGTCCCTGAAAACAAGATGTGAATACCCTTGATTCCCCAATGGAATTTCCTTTCAAGCTAGAACTGGTGATCCTGCTTATCATTTTCACTACAGAAAACAGAACTCCCTTCTGATTCCATCCTTTTCCTTAGTAGCCAAAACCATCTAAACAAAAAAAAAACCCCACAAACCAAATCCCAACACCCATCCCCCCCAAAAAAACCCAAATCCCAAACAAAAAAAAATAATTCCCTTTTCACTGCTATCAGCAGAGTTCTCCTAATCCATGCAGAAGGAAACTGAGGGAGACATATATACACAAGTCATCGCTACTGTGTGCGGTTTTGTATGGTTTTGCCATAAAGACAGACTTTTCTCTTGTTTCCCCTTTATTACACAAACTGTACTGCACATAAAATTCCAGCAATTCGGCAATGGAACAACTCAGAAAAAACACTAGAAGAAAAGCAGCCAAACACCCCCCTCAGCAGCACCACAGCCACAATCTGGAGGGAAGTGCTCAAATCCTTAACTCTTGTGACTTGTGAAGAGGTAAAAACTCAAAATAGCAGATTTGTAATGAGAATCCACCCAGTGGGAAGGTGATTTATTCTTCTATCTATCTGTGAAGGTTATTTTAGGAAGATTGTCAAAGTGAATATAAAAATGTGTATTGTTTTATTGGGGTAGCAGAATAACGTGATGCTCCTTACTAGTCCAATTGCCCATTAATATAAATAAAGATTTGCAAAGGGAAATTCTTGCCAGGGTCACATGGCCCTTAATATGAGCAATCCAGAAGACATAATTTATTTCCTCCAACTAGAATGAAATATATTTGCCCTCCCCACAAAACCTGTGTCTCTCATTCTATATGATGCTTTTGATTTAAGCAATTTTCAACTGCTAATGCACAAATGTACCAGTTGTCTGAGAACAAAGGAGGATGACTAACACTAGCACAGATTTTTAGTCTAATTCTCTTAGAAGTCCCTCCGACTATAGCATACACCAGCTATACCACCTTTAATTAAAAAAAATAAATTTATAACTCTATTTTGGGGTGAGATTATTGCCCACTTTCTCCATTTTCTGCACTAAAACTAAACATATTTTTTGAATAAGAACATCATCTTGAATCAGATCTTTTTGTAATGAAGTAACAGAACTGAATGACAGATAGGGTTGGAGATAGCAATTGATAATTAAAAACCCCAAACAAATCAAGAACTACATGCTTCTGTTCTTTTACAATGTAATGTAGAGAATACACAATTAATTGTTTCCTCCCACTGTTATCATTTAAGGTCCCATTCAGCAGCAATAAGTGGGACCAGATGTCAAAGATGACTTAAATTATAGGCTCAATAATTATCAACTGAAATTAAAAACACCGTCTTAAAGTTGCAGAAATTTCATAAATTAAAGGCTGCCACTGTGAACCTTATTTTGATTCAGGTGAGGATAACTATAAATCTGTGTATGAATATAAAACAGAAAAGAAAGAGTGAAAACCAATATTGGAGGCTACACAGCTGAACTGTGATAAAATGCACAATCTCAAACCCATTCACATTCTGGCAGAATACCATTTAAGGGGTTTGCTTTGGAGGGTCTCCAGAGAAAACAGCAATAACTAGGAGTTTAGCTGTGAAGCTTACAGTATGGTACATTAACTTTAGAAGAGACAGACGTACATACTGCTTTACAACTGTTTGCTATAAGACTCGCAGTCTTCTTAAAAGTCTTCTCGAGGTAGTGAGCAAATCTCTCATTCTCATTTTCCTTGGAACCCAACTGGAGGAATTCACCTAGGAAGTTGCACAGATGGGAATTTTAATTTGTGAGTTTACTGCTTAGGCAAGCAAATCTGAGGATAAAAATAGAAAAAGACCTTACCACGCACCAGATCTTCAATCACCTGAGTTAGAACAGAGATGATAGTAGTGTTTCCAATTCGTGCTAAAGCTACAGAAGCAGCTGAAAGGATGAAGTCACCAGCTAGAACAGCCTAAGAATAAAAAAAAAAAAAAAGATCTTTTATGTTTCTCCTGTAAGTGTTAGTACACACAATACAATTTCCTTTATTTGGCAGGTCTACTGACATAAAGCACACATACCTCATTGTAACAGAGAGAAACCAGAAGATAACCATATTAAAATTTCAACCATTTTTGGAATCCCTTAGAGTGCTGTTTATATTTTTCTATATAAGCACTGTCCTCCCTGTACGCAGTATCTGAATACACGTTTGCCTGTGAAGTTTTTTTGAACATTATTTCTCTATTTGACCATTCCTGTTGTGACTGTTATGCCATGTCAGCTCTGAGTTGCCGTAAGTTCTGATATGTCAGCAGTTATACTTGTTTCCTTGCATTTTCTAATTAAAACCCTCCCTTTTAATGCTCTATGAAGAAACACCTTTCAAAAAAATAAAAAAGAAAATAATAATGCTGACTGAAAACCATTTTTGCATTTACTACTGAATCAGAGTAACACATAGTGTTCCGGAGAGGTACAAGTTCAAAGTATTCCAACAGCACCGCAGGAACGGCAGAGGGAACATAAAATCAGTAAGAATCACACTACAATCACACATTATCTAATGCTTCCAACAGTTCAGAAAAGGAATACACATTTGTCTTACCCATAACCTGTGCACACCCCTTCATACTTTTTCTGGCATATCCCAAGACTGTGCCTAGGGATAGTAATGTGACAAAATCCTAGGTATTTGTGTTCTGCAAGTCTTGCACATAATAACAAACTCACCTTCCTCTCTCCCCAGATTTGATTGACTGTCATTTTTCCTCTGCGAGAATTTGCATCATCAATAACATCATCATGAACTAGGCTAGCTGTGTGGATCATCTCAGCAATTATGGCCACAGAGCGCTGGCTTGCTTGCACCTCCCTAAAATAAAAAACAAGAACTGTCAAATAATTAAATCAATTGTAGGTGCTACGATACACTGAAAGAAATCTCTACTAAAAACAAAAAATGTTTCTCTGAAAACAGCTGTTGCAGCTTTTCCATAGTCTGAACCCCATCTTTCAAACCTGGAATTAGGAAGACAAGAGAAAGTAAGGTCACGTTAGTACAGTAAGTGCAATGGGACATTTCTATCATTATCAGGCCTGTTTCTGCCTTGCTGCATTAACAGTATTGCAAAACTCCTGAGTTACTGATTCTAATCCCTCTAAATCCAGACTGAAATAAATAGCACAGCATCAAGGATGCTTGCTTCCAAGGAGATGGAAATCTAGAAAATAGCAGAGAAAAGAATGCCAGGTAGCTTTACAGATGAGTTAAGTTTTTCTTATCTCTGTATTGCTCTACCTTACAAGACAGGGCATCACAAACTCTGCAAAGCTGGCTAACTCTACTAAGCTGGAGAAAGCTGGAGAAATCAGCAAGCAAGCTGGAGAAATCAGCAAGCACAGAAACCTGTATTCTACATTTGAAAGACATAACTCATGGATCTTATCCTTAATGTTATCTGATTACCTTAAGACCTCAGAGGTTCTTCAAAAGCCTGAGGAATTAACTGGAATTATACTGCAATCACTTTAGGACTGTAAACACTAACTACCTAACACTTACTGAAATTCAGCCTTTGGGAAGATCTAACACTGATGATTCAACTCTCAGTAGTTCACTCCTACTTTATTTTTTAAACTAGGTGAAAAGAAGGTAATGGAAAAACATAGAAGCAATTATCTAGGGAAAAAGGTTGGCAAAATGAACATAAAAGAGCCAACCTAGCTCACACAAAGGACTACCTGCCCTAGTATCTAACTGCCACTGCCTTGTTCTAGTATCTATCTTTCTCTCTTTTTTCTACCTGTTTTCATCATGGGTTGCCTACAGGATCCCAGGAATGACTATGCCAGTCAGCCTTGCCTTATAGCTGTAACAAGCCCACATGGACGTTAAAAACCCCCAAACCCAACAAAAGAAAAAACCCCAAACCAATAACAAAAAAAAAAAAACCCTCAACAAAAGAAAAAATTACTTTTATATATAGATACCTTACTTCTGGTATACAGACAACAGAGCAAATCACACTATTTTCCAGCAGAACAGAAAAAGAACGGAGAGAAACAGAAGATAATAATTTCAGCTCAGCTGAAGGGAATTTAAAATCTTCTTGCATTGCCTATGTCTATTAAAATCTAGTTATTAATCACAAAATGAGAGAACATCTTGCAGTCTGCTGACATAACACTGCGTTCTGACACCTACCTCTTTGCAGAACTCTGCATTGCTGTCAGTGGGAGTTCTACATCCTGAACAATAGCAGGATGTGTGGCTCATAGGCTGTGAAAATGTGGCTTTTAAACAACAGAAAATAAGAGCTGGAAACCTTCACGGTTGTTTGAAGGTAAGTTTTACTGTGGACTAGTACTTCTGTCAAATGCTAGTTCAGTGTAAGTAGTTTTCCAAAATAAACTATTGTTACTAAGTAGGAGAACTTACCTTCAAAAAACTGTAAAGGTCTCCAGCCTCTTTCATGCACTGGTCTCCTTTTGGGGACTCCCTTTTTCATTAATTATGTCAGCAGACTGGACTTCCTGCTGGGAAGTAGCAGTAAATGGCAACACTCACTGACACACCAAAATCTTTCAGTAGTATGAAGACAGCATAAGGACAGACATTTCAAAAGCAGATTTTGAAAAGTTCTGCATTATAGTGCATTTCATCACTGACAATGACTAAAAATGGCACAGGAATGCTCATGGTTCATGTGTCTGGTTCCCAGAATGTTGTATCAAATGTGCTAATTTAACCTGAAGGGTTTTTTTTAAAACTATTATTTCTGCAAACTCTCAAGCAAGGTTCTTCCAATTGCTGGCAAAAAAATTTGCAATAGTTTCCTATAAATGTCTTGTGAGAGTAATAGTGAATCAGAGCATGCCTATTTTTAGGGAAAACACACAAGAAACAGGATCCTTCTCATTCCCTGCCATTTTTCATTCTGCTTCGCCTGCAAAACAAAAGCAAAAAGCAGTAACTCTAGTCAATAGATAACTGGGTCCCAAGAAGTCCAGTAAGTGGAAAGATGCCATTTTTAGGTCATTCTCATAGTAAAGGCACCCCAAGATTATATATATATACACAAAAATTTTATACAGCTTTTTATCTTTTTACACATGCATTATATTAATTTTTAAGTCCTTGATCATATTCTGGTTTACAGTAGGACCCCCTGCTTGATTCTGTGACAAGCTTTTATAGACCTACAGTACCCTGAGGTCTTTTCCATTACAGAACTTGTTTCATGTACACTGAACAAGACCAAGGCTGATCTTACAGGTTAAAAAGAAAAAAAACCAATCAACCACACCTCTCCCTCCAAATATCACTCTTCGAAGAGAAAAAAAAAAAAGGGAGGCAGGAGGAAGAGGAACTCAAAACAGTATTTACACTTTGCAACAAACAGCTTTGCAATGTGTTTGCCAGTAAGTCAATATTGCCAGTTAAAGACAGGAAACATGCGAAAGATTTTGCAAAATTTCTGTGTTATGACCACACTCCTCAAAGTAGGTTTTTGCTCTTGTCCCTGTGGTTGAAAGAACCACAGTCCCTGTGGTTGAAAGAAACAAACATTTCAGAAACACAGCCTCTGACACAGAAGGGCACTGCAAACTAGGAGAAGCATACAGAATGGATGTGTTAACAGGGGAGCAAGTTACAGAACAGCTGAAAACCAGCAAACAGTACAGGCATCGGACAACCATGGTTTGGAGGAATGAAAGAAAAGAGGACTAAGGTTGCTGGCACATCCTCATATCTTTAGGAAATATTATTCCATTGAGTTTAGCCAAGTCATTACATTTAATTATTTCTTGCACTATTCTGATGAATTTATTTCCCTTTTTCTTCCCTAAATCTTTTTGTGCTCACTATTTTCTCTATTAAGATGTCTCTGTTTCCTTGACCTTCTCTTCTTTGTTGGTCTCTCTCATTTTTGGTTGCAGAAATAGAAGTAAAAACTCCTATCTGCAAACACCTCTGGAGAATATACTCTAAACAGAAACATTAGGTCCAGTCAGGCTAAGCGATAATTCTGTGAAATTCTGCACATAAGTATGTGAAGAAATGCCAGAGGATGTGTGAAATTGAGGGTTTGTATGACCTCAGCTTAAACTCTTTACAACAATTCTCACTCTCGCACAAAGGTAAGTTGCTATCATTAAGCAAAAAGCCATTGCCCAAAGGACCTAAGGATTCAGGGTTGGACTTTTGACACTTGGATCTTCAAGGGAAAAAACCCAACATACCAGCACAGAACAATTTGAATGTTTCAGACACTTATCTTTTTTATAATAGTTCAGATTCTTTTTACAACTGTCATTCTCCTTAGTATGACAACGATAAAGCAACTTCATTGTAGAAAGACAGTTAACTTGCTGAGGGCATTCCAAATAGCTAGACTTTGTCAAATCTTAACAGAAATGATCATGTCACCTAACCTGTAAGCAGAGCTAGCTGGGTGTTCCCCTCTAATCACTTGAGAAGTCTCAGCTATTCTGGTGGGGCTCTGTGAAGACAAAGAGGTCTCTGTGGACTGCCTCCTCAGACATAACCTATAACCTTGCAAAGTTACATCCTGTTATTTTAACAGCCAAACAAGGAAGAGTATTACCTTTTCTACTAGTACTGCAGAAAAGAAAAAGGAAAAAAAAACAACCCAAGAAACCCCAAAGAATAGACAAATGCATGCTGGGTCCAGCAAGTTATATGACAGTTGAGAATGGCAGCAAGGTGAAACAGAAACTCAACATCAGTAACACAAACTCCAGAGGCAGAATTAAAAAAATGCTAGAGATGAACAGCACAGGATATTGGCTCACCCCACAAGTCTACAGATGTTGCAGCCAGTATCTTTGATTACATATGTGGGAACCAAAGCTTCAACAAAGCAAAACAAGCCTGGGAGAAGAATCAATGTTAACAGAGGAAAAGAACAATAAAATGCTTTAAGGGAAATGACAAGTTGAAAGAGGAAAAACATTTTTTTAAAATATCAGGAGAAGCAGAATGGAAAGTATTTTTTTCCCCTCAGGTCTATAGCAGAGTAGCAGAGTTACAAACGTGCAGTGTTTCCTTCTGTACATACACAATTTTCCTCACAAACAGTAAAAAGTTGGAAGAACAATTTGTCACCTAGCAGCAACGCTGCTTTACGAAGCAACAATAATGAAACCAGTATCAGTGTGAACTGGAACTATATGTATAAACAAAGCAGGTATAACACAGCCTGCTTCAAGAAGCTTAAAAGCAAAAGAGAAGAAAATGTCCCTAAAACTTCATCAACTCACAGTCAGTGGGGATCCACGATATGAAAGTATATTCTTTTGGCATGGCCTACACAACCCTCAAAAGACATTGGTCATCATGCATGAACCAAAAAGCAGTACACTGAAGATAAACATATGTGAATTTTAATCACAATCATAGGCTCAGAGAAAAGTGGCACAAGGCAAAGAAGAGGAAGGTAAGTACCCTGGGATTTCATTCTCTTCCTTGCTGAAACATTTCTGTTCTCCCTACTCAGAATTTCAGCCTAAGAACATGACAGAGATAGTGACTCAGTCTGTCCTTATACAAGGAACATTCAGATTAATGAGGAGGCTTTTAAACATCAAACCTAATTTGGAGGTCCTGACAAAAACTGCAACAGATGTACAAAAGCTGCCAAATGACACTGGCATCTATAAACCAGAGCACTTATGTTGAGGGCCGGCTACTGCAAAGCAAACACTTGCCTCAGGCACATGTGGCACTTGAACCCTGAGATCACACTTCTTCACTGGCATAGGGCAGGTCTCAAAACTGGTCCTGATGGTTTCAAGACAGCATAACGCATCAACATGAGTATGTCCATGAGCATATACATTATGTCAAAAGACAGCAAATATTCTTTGAGTTTCTTTCTAGAGGTACTTCTTGTCTTTGATTCACTGCTCACCTCCTACACTACATGACATCAATTCCAGCCTTCTCAGTATTTCATGTACACTACATAGTTTCATTCATAGGCTTCTCATGCTACACACTAGAATGAGATAAAACTACTTTCCCTATTATTCCAACTAGAAGGATTCTCCAAAAACTCACTGCCTCAGTTGTTAAGAGTCTCATCCTAAGTTTCTACCCTCTTAGCAACATTGTCCTTTGTCTTAAATAGCTCTTTCACCCCTGTTCCTGATAAATTTGTAGACCACAAGTCCTTCCTTCTCCCTGATTATCTTTGCAGTCCATCCCTGAAGCTAGCTGGACTCATCTTTTTTGGAACACAAGGATCAGACATGCTGATGATTTCACAAAATGCTATACAAGGGTATCAGCACTCCCATAGCTGAACTTGGATATACTATGGATATACTATACATGCTAGGATTACTTTAATGTTTTTCACAGAGAAGGTGGCTGCAAATAACATTGGGGTTACGCCTTAAAGGGACACTCATGAGCCTCCAAGCTCAAGCAGAAATTTTTGGTTTATTGTGCTTCCTTGGATGCAAGGCCACCATGGACGGCAATGGCCAGTCACCAAGAATGATTTTGTCATCAAAAAGTGCCATCATCACACTCCTACTTTTCACGTCAAGATTTAGCCAATGGGTGCTGTGACAAAGGACATCCTTGAGGGGTTTCACAACTGATATTCTTCCTTTTGCTACCTCTAAGACAATGGCAAGGAGCAGTACTGAATGGAGAACAGAATCAGACTGAAGTTTATTAATGCTGGACAATGTTTTCTTAAAAACAAGAGGAATTGGCACACACAGGACAGGACACTGCCAACTAGGTTTTGCTTTCTCCTTTGAAATTATATTCATATAGGAGGAGGTATACTGGGAGAGGTGCCATATCAAGCAGCAATATATATGTCATGCTCTGAGGTAGAAATCAAGTCCAACAAGCCACTAACCTACTGCTAAGGAAAAAAAAAAAAAAAAGATGCAAGAGCTGAGAGAAATCCCTTAAGACTGACAAATTAGTCTAGAAACACTTCTGGCAAGGGACCAAAGATTTCATATTTGAAATTCTATACGAGGGAAGACTGGAAGAGTAGCTCTAAGGCAGAGAACACTCCAGCCAACATCTTTCTTCAAAATGCAAACATTACAACTGAAAGAAACATGTGGAGAGAAGCATTTGCAATCGGCCAGAACAAGAAGTGATAGAGAGTACAGGGCAAGCATGATGTTTTGCTCAGTAAAAACTGCTTTCAAAAGACAACTTGAAGAACATCAGGATTACACCAGCTCTAAGCTTAGAATCTTACATTAAAGTGTAGAAACTTGCTCCTAGAGGGGAAAAAAATATCTCTGACTGTTTTGAATGTCTCACAGCTTTGAAGATAATTATACCACCTGTTTAATGGCTTTTCCGCATAATTACCAAAAAAGCTATTAAAGTCTTTTCTGTAGCAAAGTTCTTACCTGTGACAAGAGTTTAACAGCTACAGGAGGGGTTACAAATGAAAAAATACTTTTAATTAAGTTCATACAGTTTCAAGGAGTATTACAAGTTCTACCAAAGCATTTAAGTAAGAAGCTAAAATTGACTAAAAACCTTACAAATATTAGAATTTGGCAACACTATTTATCCATCACCAGTTACAACTGCAGTATAGTCTATCATTTTACATGTGAAAGCATGTAACAAACCAAGTAGTTCCTTTTGCACTGCTAACTACAAAAATACAGCTTCATGATGGAATTTAAATTCAGGTTTTACTGAGGAGCTATTTATTTTCATAAAGTTACTAGACAAATTTTTCAGGAACACAAGATAGATAGATTTCAAATATGATATATGTCCATATATCTAAAAGTGGCCGACTCACCTGGAATTATTATGGTGAATGTTGCAAGCCCTTGCCATTAGCACCACAATCATTGGTCGAAAGGCCTTTCCTTTCCCATCAAAGTAATAATCACACATTTCCTTAAGTTCTGCTGTAGATACAAGTAATTCCTATAAAAATGAAAAAAAAACATATCAGCATAAAAGCCACGAAGCCAATCTGTTTAGTGTAAGCAAAACAGTATGCACGTATAAGGTTATTGCTTGCATTCATTCCACCCAATGCAAGCTGAAGTTGTTTTAAAAATTACTATGATTAATCTGAAACATAAATGATGCATTGCAGCAGTGTAAATCAGGAGGAAAAAAAAAAGCATTCTGGTTCTATAAGACATGTAGAAATGCTCTCTTTGCCTTCAGTTTAAGTTTCAGACAGCTGTTCATAAACTTAAAGAATATTCTTTCAATAACTGTCCTCCAAAGCGATAGTTGCTATTAAAATCAGAATCATCACAACATCCCAGAATAGTCACCAAAAATGCCTCACCTTTTTAATATCTTCATAGAGATTCTTCAAGTCTTTTCTACCAAGTTGAAAAGGGTCTTGGTATTTTTCATCACTAACTGTCTTACTGCAGCTGCACAAGTGTGATGCACTGGTATGATGAAACCTGGCCACAAGGTTTTCCACAAGAGTAACATTGTTAAAAGCAAACTTTCCCTGATTTCCCAAACAGAAATATTTCAAAGCATTTTCTCCTCCTCCCTTCCCCTCACACAAAATTTAACCAAATGGCTAAAATATAAACCGAAGGCATCAAAACACCCTTTTCAGCCAACTAATAAGGTGCAAGGACAGCACACCTACATATCCATGATCACAGACTTTTAGGAGCTGGCAAACTGCAGCATTTGGCAAACAATAACACACCCCCCCATCCTTAACAGAAGTCTTCTGAGACACATAAAAATACATCGTGCTCAATGTATTCCTTTTGAATACACTATTGATAGCAGAGCGTACATTTGGGGATGAAGCCTTCATCTTCCAGTAACACAATAATTCTGTTACTTTCTTCCCTCTCCTGTATACTTCTGGAAAAATATTCCTGACTTGGATTTGAAAACGCTCCTTTGCAACACCCCACTACATGATAAATTATAAATTAAATCAGTACTTCCAGGTAGCATGATGATGCTATGTAAGTTCATCACTAAAGGGTGAAAAAACCACCTGGATGCATTAAAATGCATTAGGCTTAGGCCTGAATTATTTTTTTTTTAATGTTCCCTGGAGTTGAAGTTTATGCTGCCTGTTACATTTATTTTTTTAAAGTGAACCGTACGGGTTTTTGGAGGGCATTCTTGCTTTGCCCATTGCTCTCCAGGATGGAGGACTTAGATTCAGACTCAGCACCATAGCAACAGTCTACACAGAATTATCCAGCTATGTACTAGAGTGAATAACCTTATTTTCAAAGTTTACGGTTCACAGGTGTAACTACCCAGTTCACTCAATAACGATGTCTTTACCCATTACACAACAATATGAATCTCCAACTTACCGCCAAAATATATTACAACTTTTTGGAAATGACAAAGGTGAACTTCTTTGGATAAAGTGACACATCTGCATGAAGAAAAATCAGGGTTAATTTAACAGAATTTTAAACTGACAGAAAACATTTTATTACAAAAAAACAAGGGTCTGTTCATCAGCACTGTTCTATTTCTCCATTTTAACAACCCAGCAGCAAAGGGAGTCTCAATCTCCTTCCATATCACATGAGATATAACCGCCAGTATGTAAATTAGCTTCTGACTTAAATTGACTCTTCCACTCAGGAGGGTTGGACTTTCTCCCCTCGCAGGAACAGCCCAGGAGGCTTATCAGTTAACTTCCCAGAACTGCTCTAATGAAACCTTGCTTTTGCACTCATGGAAGGTGCAATTTTCAAGCGTACCGTGTCTTGCAGATAAATCTGGATGGCATCAGTCAAGGCACAGAGAAAAGGACAAAAGGTGTTTCCGCAAACTACTACATTGACAGAAGAACATGTCCTTGTTTTCCCTGAAGCAATTTTAATTCAGCCTGCTTCTTATGATAATTTACACCTGCACCTTTTCCCTGCTAGATGTAAAGAACCTAACCTCCAAACACAGAAATCTTTCCAATGATGTCTCCCTGCTGACTGAGTCCAGGAGCCTGGAAGGCGCAGTCCCAGGTACACAACTCCAGCAGAGATAGACTGAGAAAGGAAACGCACCTTTTGCTCTGTTCCTGGAATTGCTGCCAAGAACTACCCAGCCCTGCCCTAGAGTGCACACTGACTCAGCCTGAAATCATTGCAATCCACCAAACTGCCTCTCCAAAAGCCCACACAGAAATGCTCAAGGAGACCTAGAACTGGAGAAGAGTTCCCCCAACTTGCTCCTCATGCCTCAGTGTCTCCTGAAGTCTCTCTCTCTCTCTCCTTGGAGACAGGAAGAGAAACAAGAGCACCACACAAGGCTCCAGGGCACCCTTCCACCCTCCTTGTGTACAAGATGAAAAAAGGCCAGGCAAGGAGATAAGGGAGGGAGAGGAACCCTTACTTAACATGGATTTGCAACTCACTGCTGCCTGACTTCAGTGCCCAGCCCTATGGCTGAGACCTTCATAAGTTTGCTCTCTCATACCTCTCACTGTTTTCTGTTGTTAAAAAAAAGCTGACCTTTTCCTAATCTTGCTTTGGTGAGGGCACAGACTCCCTTACACTGCTGCTTAACACTGGAAGACTGGGTCATGCACGATGCTGCACACATCACAGCCAGAACACTTTACTGCAGATCAGAAAGCAGACTGGCCTTCTGAGGAAGGTGTAAACAAATACAGTGGGAGAACTGCCCCCCATTACAACTCCTAATGCTAACTTACACAGAAACACGTTGAAAATCTCGCAGTAACGAGTATCACTTTCCCTGCTCCCACCTAGAGAAGAGTCCGAGAGGTTCTTCCCCACACTAGTAACCAATCCTGCCCTGAAAACCCTTAACCCAGTATTTAACCTTGCACCGAGAGCGCACCAGCCTCCTGCAAGCCCCCCCTCACCCCGCGCCCCAGGCAGGGAACTGCCCCCCCGCCACCAGCCATCGCACACCGGAACAGCCTTCGGGCCTTCGCGCTTCCCGAGCAGGGGGGAAGACGTGGGCTGAAAAAAGGCCGAAGGAGCCGCGGCCCCAACGGAGGGCAGCTGTGACCGCCCGACCCTACGCCCCATTCATTCCCGGTGACCTCCAG